AGTCCTATATTATAGGAACCTGAAGGTAACCAGCCCTCTGCAAACACAGAATTTAACTTCAAGCAAAGTAGTGAATTTTTTTTCTCTTAATCTAGCTGAAACCTTTCCTAAATAATGTTGTGAACGCTCATCTTTGTGAGGCAAGCACCAAAGTAAGGCTTCAAAACTGTCTCAGGTGACTCTGGGGTAGGTTGGTGCCACCATTCCTCCCACCCCATCCTGCAGCTTTGGCAAGAGCAAGCAGCCAGTGTACACCTAGCTGCAGAGGCTCCTCAACAGTCTCCAACAAGGAAGTAAGTACAGTGGGACTGGGGGGGAAGGGGAATTGGACCTCAAAATGTCAGCCAGACACTGGTGGCTCATGCCTGTAATCCTCCCTACTCATGAGGCTGAGATCTGAGGATTGCAGTTTGAAGCAAGCCCAGGCAAAAAAACCCTGTGATACTTTTATCTCCACCAAACTACCCAAAAAGCCAGTAGTGAATCTATGGCTCAAGTGGTAGGGTGCTAGCCTTGAGCATAAAGAAGCTCAGGGACAGAACCCAGGCCCTGAACTCAAGCTCCAGGACCAGTACCCAAAAAAGAAAAAGAAAAAAGAAAAGAAAGTCTATGTCCTTGTTGCTACTTTCAGAACACAAACATGACACAGTGCTAGGATCCAATCCTTTGCCAAGGTCAAGAACTTTGTCCACCTGGCCACAGACTAAGATGGGGATGAGAGAGACAACATAGCAAAACAAAAGCCAGACATTTACAAAGCTCCAGCAGGCATGGCCTGGAGGCAGCTGGTGAGTTCTGTCCTCAGGTATTTAAGCTCACAGGGCTCCCTCCCTTGATGGGAAGGTTACAGGTATAATGCTGACCTGGATAGGGAGTGTGGACTGATGGCTTAAGGCCCTTTCCCACTTTTGGATCTTGCTGCTAGAATGCCTGACAGATTGTCTTCAGATGATGTCTACAACACAGTATTTCTGGGACTACCACTTTAGTGGTTCTCTCCCCTCCTCTACCTCCCACAGGCAATGTACAATATTAACAGCTACAACAACAAAAATTCTGGCAAAATGAACAGCCTAATTGGGTGCTGGTGGCTCATGCCTATCATCCTAGCTACTCAGGAGGCTGAGAGTTGAGAATCATGGTTTGAAGCCAGCCCAGGCAGGAGATTCCATGAGACTCTTATCTCCAATGAGCTACCAAAAAGCTAGAAGTAGAGCTATGGCTCAAGTGGTAGTGTTAGCCTTGGGCAAAAGCTCAGGACAGCATCCAGGCCCTGAGTTCAAGCCCCAGGACTAGCATAAAACAACAACAACAAAAAACCCTCATCAAAATAAACCTCGCAAATGCCAAGGATCCAACATTCCACTTGCAAACATGATTAATAGCTGTTCTTTGAGAGGCTAGCTGTGACTATTTAGCTATGATAGGATGGGAACAGTTCATCACCCATGGCTATTAAAACACACGTGAAATTCCTCTTCATTTTTATTTTCCTGGGGCTCCAACTCTGGTCCTGGGTGATGTCCCTGAGCACTTTTTTCTTAAGGCTAGGGCTCTACCACTTGAGCCATAAAACTATTTCTGATTTTTTTTTCTGTGATAAGAGGTAAGAGTCTCACACACTTCCTTCCCAGGCTGGCTTTGAACTACAATCCTCACATCTCAGCCTCCTAAGTAGCTATGATTACAGGCATGAGCCACTGGCTCCCAGCTCCTCTTCATTTTAAAGACTGGTTTTGACTCTTTTGGTTACCAATCTTTTATGAGATTCAGCTAATGTATGATTGTCCCAAGCTAGTGCCAATGTAAATGTTCCTTAAAGAAGTGTTTGTCTAGGGACTGGGAATGTGGACTGGTAGAGTGTTTGCCTAGCATGTATAAACTCCTGGGTTTGATTCCTCAGTAACACTTAAACAGAAAAAACCAGAAGTGGCACTGTGGCTCAAGCGGTAGAGTGCTAGCTTTTAGCAAAGGAGATCAGGGACATTGACCAGACACTGAATTCAAGCCCTAGACCTGGCCAAAAAAAAAAAAAAGTTCATCCATTTGTTTTTTTTAAAACCTTAACGTGAATGGTGGGATGTTTACATTTTCATGTAACAAATCTCAGCAAATGAAAGGTCCATGCCAAGCTGGCAGAGAGGCAGGGACTGGGCAGTTTAAGAAGTGAATGCCAGCCAGGCACTAGTGCCTTATGCCTGCAATCATAATAACTCAGGAGGCTGAGATCTGAGGACTGTGGTTCAAAGCCAGCCAGGCAGGAAAGTATGTGAGACTCCTCTCCAATCTGCTACCAAAAATGCAGAAGTGGAGCTATGGCTCAAATGGTAGAATGCCAGCCATGATCACTAAAGCTCAGGGACAGTGCCTAGGCCCTGAGTTCAAACCCCAAGACCAGAACAAAAAATAAAAATAAAAAAAAAGTGAATGCTAGTTCTGAACTTGAACTTCTGGTGTTGCCCAGAAACAGTCAAGACAACATTGAGCCATTACAGTTAGGAGAGGCTTGAGAGTACTTGACAGGTTGACAGGTGGTACAAAAATGTCAGCAGCCAAGACAAACACACCCTCCCTCAACCCCATATTCCCTGCAGCTGGGCCCAGACCACTTCTAGGTGGAAGTCTGTTCACAGATAAACCATCAGAGGCTGTGGAAGGGACTAAGGCAAGTGGTTCGATGAAAGGACACACTTCTGGACATGAGGGAAATGTAATATTCAACAGCTTTTTCTTTTCTCATACCTGATCTGCTTTAAAAGGTTGAAAAGCTGGGGTTCGATGTGGTTCGGTTGGTGGAGCACCAGCCAATAAGCAAAGCGTCAAGGTACAGAGTTCAAGACCTGGTCTCAGAACAACAACAAAAAAATTGAAGAGCTACCCATACCATCCACATTGCTAAATCAGCCCTCTTCCGAGGAAAGACAACATGAAACTCTAGGTTCACAGCATCCTGCGGAAGTGAAAACGTTCCCTTGGGTTTTTCTTGGAAACAAAGGCATTCCTTCAGATCATGTGAACAGGTGGGTCCCAACCCCACAACTTATAAACATAGCCGCTTCTCTCTCTCTCTCTCTCTCCCAGGAAAGCAGATTGGTTGCTAAAAACAAAACAAAAATCACACAAAAAAGTGACTTGACCTACATGCCCATCATTTTGGTTTAAGTATCAGAAAGACATGGCCATTTCCATAGAGCAGGTGGATGGTGCTTTAACCTTCTTGGCCCTACCTGCCCCAGACTCTAGCCAGCCCATTGAGCTTTCTTGATACCCCATCAGGATCTGTTAACAAAGTGGGAGATCATCTCTACACATGCACCAAGTCTGTGTGTAGGACTGAAAATACTAGGAGGCCACCTTGCCCTCCATAGCCAGGAGAGGCCTCATATCCTCAAAATGGGGCTTCCTCATAGCCCCATATATGTTCTATGTACATCCATTTACACATATTTAAAAAGGCTGCAATCTGCAAGACATGCATCTTCAATACTAGTAAAAGCTTTGCTCCAAGAAAACACACTGCATTTTAGGGAGGGTGGGACTCTGTCCCCAATCCTCAGAAAGCACAGGTGCACAGTCTTCTTTCACAGGACCAAATGTGGGAGGGCACATGCCTGGCCCTGCTCATTGTGGCTTTCGTCCTGAATCCTCTAAGACAATGCTCAGATCAAGCCATCTAGGAACACTCTCTCAGGCTAATCTTTCCACTGCTTCTTTCATCACTTAAGGCTTAAGAAATAACTCAGCATTGAAACCAATTAGGAAGATGACACCTTTGGCCAATGTACAGGGTTTAAGATGGTCGGTCAGAAATTAGAACTCAAATCCCTTTTTACCCCCTTTTGGGGGCTCTTTTTCTCTCAACTTATCCACACACTCTGCCCCCAAAGACATTGATAAGAGATTTTCCACAAACATCATTTTAGCTCTAACACTTTGTTTTCATTGGATACTTTGGCTCTGATTTTTTTTTTTGAAGTGAAAAAAAATCAGGTCATTATTAATACTATCTAAAGTTCTCTAGCAATTTTTTTTCCCTAAAAGGGAAGCAAATTTCTCAGGTTGACAATGATGTTGGCTGGATTTCTGAGCGGGAATCCTAGTTTTGGCAGCTTTCCTGGCCATTGGGAACAAAGGACTAACACTAGCCCAAGCCACCGAGGTGGTCACAGCAGCACTGGTCTGCAACCATGGCTAACATGTGATTCCAGTGATGTGCAGAGAAGCACACACCAGCCGCCCCTCCTATGAGAGCTTTGGGGGTCATGGTTTCTAGTCAGAACTTTGTACGTGCAACTGCTTTGAAATTCTCATTGGCTCCAAAGGCCTATCAGTATGTCAGGATTCCTGCCTTACACAGGGCTGAGCAGTGAGCAACAGGAGCAGCAGCGGTCTTGGTTAAGGAGAAAGTGAAGCAGAGCAGAGATTATCAGGTTGGCTTTATGACAAGTCAATTAGCCAACAAACCCTGAGTGCCCAGTGTGCACAAGGCACAAGGCAAGGGAGGGGACCCAGGGTCAAACTGATTTGCTCTCAAATGACAAAGCTTGTAACTGAGCAGGCCTGACTACATCCCTGATGGGAAGCCTGTAAGTCCAGATGTGCACCTGCTCCCCTACTTCCAACATCAGCCATGCCTTCCTGCTAGTCCACAGCTGAGCCTTGCTGATATTGCAGAATGACCGCCACAACAGTTCCCATCCCACATTTCCAGTACAACTGACTGAGTGCTCTGGTGAATACTGTGGACAACATTTTCCATTCTTTCCATGATTCTGGGTGTTTATTTTTCTTTCACGCCAGTAGTTACCTTTAAAAAAAAGTCCTTTTAGGGGTGACATTGTCCAAAAAAGAAATGTAGTCTTTACCTGACTTATATAACTGTAACCCCCTCTGTACATCACCTTTGTAATTAACAATAAAAAAATGTTTAAAAAAATGTCTTTTTATACACATACTCAATCATGAGAATATAATCCTTCTGACCAAAAAGATTTACAGTATTCATCATTCCAACTTTTTTTATTTACAATAAAAGTTAACAGTCATCACGGGCTTGCATGACGCAGATATCACCTGGGCCTCAGGCTTCTATCGAACCTCATTCCTCTAGGCTGGGTGTTCTCCTCACTCCAGTTGCTTGCTGCCCTCGGACTTCTGGTCCAGTCTACTCTTGTTAGTCTTCACCATGTAGATGAAGTAGGCGAGGGTCTCCTTCTCATTCACAGGTATGTTCCTGAAGTGGCGGCTGACGGTCTATGTGGGGGGGGGGGGTGGGGGGGGGGGGAGGTGGGGGAGAGAAACCAAACCACAGTCCCATAAACCATGCATAAATCAGGGCCATACTTTCTGATCTGAGGACATGAGGGTACAGGGGGCTGTGGCTATGGCAGAGCCTCCTGGGGGAGGCAGACCTCAGTGCCCTCTTCTCCAGGGAGTTAGGATTCCAGCCTTCCCAAAGCAGACCTTTAGCCTTATGACACTGCCACTGGCAGTGGGCCATCGCTTGTATAATTTCCGTCAGCCCAAGGTAGAAGAGGCTGGGGCTGTTTTACTTGCCCAGTTGCCACCATACCTCTGAGGTGGTACAAGTGGGCAAAACAAAATGTGTGTTAAAAAAAAAAAAGGAAAAGCTAAGCACTGGTGGCTCATGCCTGTAATCCTAGCCACTTGGGAGGCTGAGATTTAAGGATCATGGTTCAAAGCCAGTCAGGGCAGGCAAGTCCAGAACACACACACACACACACACACACACACACACACACACACACACACACACACACACACACACACACACACACACACACACACACACACACACACACACACACACACACACACACACACACGAAGGTATGGCTTTGGTAAGAGTGCCAGACTGGAGTGAAAAAGCTATAGGACTGCACCTGGTCCCTGAGTTCAAGTCCCAGTACCAATGTGCACCAACACACTCACAGACAGATTTGAACAAATGAACTTAAAAAAACATTCAGGACTTAGAATCAGGAGTCCTAAGAATCTCATTTCCATTCTGCTACTAAGGTTGCTATGTGATTCCCCCGCCCCATGCTGGGGTTCAAACTCCAGGCTTGGGTGTTGTGTCTGAGCTCCTTTTTGCTCCAGGGTAGCACCTTACCACTTGAGCCACAGCACCACTTCTGGCTTTTTCTGTGATTACTTGGAGATAAGGGTCTCACAGATTTTTCCTGCCTGGGCTGGCTTTGAACTGCAATCCTCAGATCTCAGCCTCCTGAGTAGCTAGGATTACAGGTTCGAGCCACCAGTGCCTGGCTTGCTGTTGTGGTTTTAAGCAAGTCATTTTCTCTCTCTGTGACACTGTTTCTTTTCTAGAAATGAAGTCTTTCCAAATTTAATGCTTTGGGATTCTACATTATGTGGAAGATGAGAATAGACACTTGTGTGTAGAAGGCCACAACTAGTGGTGAGAATCGGGACCACATGGAAACCACACATCTACCTACTTCTGCTAACTGGGCCTTATTAAAGCCTGGTCTGGTCTGCAACTTGTAGTGTCGTTTATAACGTCGCAGAGTGTTCACCTGCAGCTGGAACAAGTCAACCTGGAGAGAAGAGGAGAAAACACATTATCCATCACTTGACCAGGCAGGATTCAGTAAGAACCCACTAGGTGCCCAGCATACCCTAGAGGTAGGGGTGAGGAAGGGGAGGGCTACAAAAGAAAAGTCTTAGAGGTTGTCCAATGAGGATGAGTAACTGGGATGGAGGATAAGAAATGACTGGAAAAGAGTCCTGGCTGGGGAGGGCTGATCCCAGGAGATGGGAGAAGGAGGTGAAGCAGACATCTGAGGAAGAGTGTAAGGCGTGAGGGGACCATAAGCACAGAAATGCAGAAGATGAAGGGTTCGGGGGTTCAGGGTCCCAGGAAATCGGGGTAGTTTCAAGGGAAAGATGGTGGTAGTGACAATGCCTTGGAAGTCAGGAGGAGCTATGATGGCTGGCGGGGGGGGGGGGGGGGGGGGATGGGGGGGCATGGGGGGGAGGCTGCTGCAGGAACTTGGGAGTTGGTGGGGGTTTACAGGGAGCACTGATTCACCAGGGAAATGAGTCAAGCTCTGGAGGGGTGGTGACATTAGAGGACATCAAGGAGGGATGTCCTCTAGAGAGGACTTCTAGAGAAAGAACATGCTAGAACTAGGCAGCAACTAGAGAAAGAGGGGCATTGGAAGAAGTATAACTGTCAAACAGCTCGTTTTTTGTTTTTGCCTAGGCTCAGCCTTCAGGATTTGGAAAGTCTTAACAATCCTCAAGGGAAAGCTGGAAAGCGTCTGTGGTTTGCACCCAGAAGCAGGCTAGGGTCAGGGTCTCTGTAGATGACTAGAGAAAAGAGCGGAAGGGACCCCCCCACATCACTTTTTTTTTTTTTTTTCCAACACAGGAAGAGAGGAAAGCTGCACAGTCATGAAATATTGAAGGCCCAGAAAGTTGGGCTGCCTTTACCTGCCTCTAAAAGAGATGTTCTTGCTTCAGGCAGGTGGAGAGCACTTTAAAAACAAAATGAATGATCAATATGAGGGACCGAAGCCCTTCATTTGTTTCAAAACATTCCTCAAAACCTTTGCTTTTCCCCCCCCCTAGTGAAAGGCATTTAGAAAGCAAATGCATCTTTATAAAATAATAATAATAATGCTAAAGGCCACAGAAAGACACTGTAAACTAATGTTGGAAAAGGGGACATGGGGAGAAGCAGAGGGGGAGGGCTAGATTTTCAAAGGTTTCCTTCACATCTGCAGACAAAGGCCCGCCTACTCTTTCTATTCCTACACATGCATTTTCACTCTTGAGTGCGAACATGCGGTTTGCCTTATGAAATATTCATGTGTCAAATATTCAATGTATACTTATAAAGGGTTCTTCTTTTGCTGAGTCTTAAGTAAAAACAATTTAGACAGAAAGAAAACCCCATATTCCTTTCTTGGAGCCTCATTTAATACTCCCAGGCATCCTAAGGAAAGCCGACTCTGGTTGAAAAAGGCTACATCATGTAGTTTACTGCAGGGGTCAGCTCAGGATGCTTTGCCCTCGGGAGAACACATGGCCATGTTTGAAGATGTTTTTTGACTGTCAAAGATAGAGGCAAGCTGGGCACTGGTAGCTCATTCCTGTAACCAACCCTAGCTACTCGGGAGGCTGAGATCTGAGGTTCCCGATTCAAAGCCAGCCCAGGCAAGAAAGTCAGAGACTCTTACCTCCAATGAACCCCCAGAAAACAAGAAGTGAAGCTGTGGCTCAAAGTGGTAGAGCATTAGCCTTGAGCTAAAAGAGCTCAGAGATAGCATCCAGGCCCTGAGTTCAAGCTCCATGATCAACAGGAAAAAAAAAAAAAGATAAAGGTGATATGTTCTAAACATCCCATAAAACCCAGGATTTGCCTCCATAATAAAGAAGCATCTGGTCCTGGTCCCAGATATCAAGAATGCCAGAGCTGAGAGCGCTGGTTCAATGGAACTGGTAGGAAATGCATCCTTGGGAACAGGCCTTAACCAGCAGGTATGGAATCAATGTATGACAGAAAACCGAGCTGGTACAAACTGACAACTCTGCACCTGTATCTGACAGACCAGAAATCTGAGAAGAGAACTGCTCCTCGATCATAAATGGCCAGATCCTAGTGTTAGAGATGAAAACGAGGCTTAAGGTGATCAATAGGTCATGGTGAAGCATTTGTCAGGGGTTTCTTAAATAAAAGCAATAGGGTCTATTGGAAAGGTCAATGACCTCAGGTCTCTGTGCCTTTCTCGAAGTAATGGAACAGCTCAACCAGTTGATTTCTAAGTGTTCAGATTCAATGGTACTATAATTCGCTTTTCACTAAAAAAAAAAAAAAAAAAGTCCACAGTGAAACACAGGGGACTAAATTAGTTCTTAGCACAAAAAGCAGACCAGACCAGAGGAAGGAAAAAGCATGCTTCCAGTGTTCTCTGGCTGACTTCTTGGCCTTTACCTCAGGAATGTCAGTGTCGTGCTCAGGAGAATCGCCGCCATCGTCACTCGTCTTTCTCTTCCTTTTGTTTCGGACACTCTGGATGAAGTTTTTGTGGAAGTCACAGATATACAGGTGCCTTACCTGATGGGAAGCAGATGAGAGTGAGAATTGCCAGTTGCATGGCAATAGCAGGGGGTCTCTGTCAAACTACGGGGCTCTCTTCTTGGCCAGGCGTTGGAGAGACAGAAGAACAAAAGGCAGGCCATGTTGGGCAGATGCTTACTACAGAGCTAGGAAATAAGAAACTGAGGCCTGGGGGGGAGGGGGGAGGCTGGGAAGGGATGTGAAGGGTAAACAAAGGAGGAGGCTGCAATGCTTGGTAAGAAATGTACGCATTATCCTGCCCATGTAACTGTAACTCCTCTGTACAGTATGTTCACAAATAAAATTTAATTTAATTAAAAAAAAAAAAAAAAGAAACTGAGGCCTGAGGCGCAGCTCAGTGGTTGAGCAAGCACACACATGTGCACATGCACATCCGTGCATCCCCTTCCTCCCCAGTGACCAAGTATGACCAAGTCTCCAGGAAACGGTGAAGATAAAAGAAGATGGGTTGGGAGAAGGGAGGATTTGCAGGCTACCAGGAAACCTTTCACATATGAAGGACAGGCAAGACAGTGATGCCAAATAAGGCTACCAAAGGGGGCGGAGGCCATCTTGTGGTCATGTGGGCAGTGTGACTTTCCTTCAGACAAAGAGTTCCTCAAGGCTTGTGAAGTAAGGAGTGATATGGCATTTTCAGAACACCTGTAGGTATTACAACCTTGCAGTGCGGCTGGACAAAGGAGGGAAGCAGGGACTGGGGTAGGGGTATTTGGACACCCAAGTTTATACAAACAATATCTACTATTGAAACCCTTTGAAAAACTCTTTCCGTGTAGCAGTGAGTAAGTCTTATATAACCTCACATCTGATCTATAAAGAAGTCCAAAGAGGGTACTGGGGACATATACCTGTCATCTTATCTACTCAGGAGGCCAAGATCTGAGGATCTGGGTTCCAAGCCAGTCAGAGCAGGAAACTCTGTGGGATTCTTATCCCCAATTAACAAGCAAAAAGCTGGAAGCAGAGGTGTAGCTCAAGTGGTAAAGTGCTAACCTTGAACAAAAAAGCTAAGGAAAAAATGCCTAGGCCCTGAGTTCAAGCCTCAGTACCCCCCACCCCCGCAAAAAAAAAAAAAAAAAAAAAGAGAGGGAAGAAATGCAGGAATTCTAAAAGAATGTGCACATTATCACTGATGTGGAATGCAAGCTGGAGCACACTAGTAAGGGTACCAATAGCAGCTAAAATATAAAAAGTATGCTTGACTCCTTTGTACAACTACTTAAAGATAAAAACAAAATAGAAGTATAAAGCTGGGCCAAGGTGGCTCATGCCTGTCATCCTAGCGGTTCAGGAGACCCAGATGTGAGGATCACAGTTTAAAGCCAACCTGGGAAGGAAAGTCCATGAGAACCTCAATCTCCAATTAAACACCAAAAACCCAGAAGTGGAGCTGTGGCTCAAGTGGTAGAGCACTAGCCTTGAACACAAAAGCTCAGGGAAAGTGCCAAAGCCCTGATTTCAAGCCCCAGGACCTGTATCCACCACCCCCCGCCCCAAAAAAGAAGTATGCTTGAGCACATAAATTCCAGAGTTGCTTGTGGGAACCATTCAAAAACCTTACAGAAATGGGCTGTCCAAGTCAATGACTAGGGGTTGTTGATATTGAAACAGATGTTACACAAATGTTCTGGGAAGAAGTCGGAAATTGAGTTTATTCCTTAAATAATCCCCAAAGATAAAAGTAAGCTGACAGGAAAGGAGCATCAATTAATTTAGGCCTCTTCATGGAGAAAAAAAAATACTAAAAACTGTTTATTCAGATGAATTATCATTTTTATGTAGTGGGATTAGTGAGCCATAAGTGGTTCTAAGTTTATACTGTGATGGTGTTTTGGTAGACAGCAGGCACTCAATAAATGCTGATGCACTGATATGGGCAGTTTGATATCTGAAAGCTGCATCAGCCAGTAAAAGCTGTCACTTTCATGGCTGCAAATTTGAACAGCTTTGCCAAGTCCACTCTGTCAAAGGACTTTGGACACAGTATGTGCAACTGTCTCAAAGATGCCTGCCCAGGTGAAGAAGGGACCATGGGATAAGCTTTTTTCCAGAAAGCAACCATGGAGACCTGATAGGCAACTGGTTCAAGTACACACTGGAAAACTTCAGGGGAGAGCACACAGATAAGGATTATTTCCTAAAACTTCATCTGGGAGGCATCAGGTCATGACACTACAATAAAAGAATCTTAGATGTAAGAGAATTTAGCAATCACTTCATGACCACTAGCGCCAATCTCATTTTCTAGAGCGGTTAAAGTAAAAATCACCCAGCTTGGGGAAAATGGTCTGGCCAAGATCACACAGACCTTCTGACTCCTGGTACACTTCCTTTCCTACCTCAATAGTTTCCTTTATAAAGTGCTTCAAGTACTATGTCAATTGGAGCAATGTCTGCAAGCATCTGGGTAAGTTACTGAGTATTGCCAATGTCTACATAAATTGAGTTAAACTGCTTGAGTTTTTGCTGCTGTTATTTAAAAGGTTCTCAGCTAGGTCCTTTAACAAGGTAACTTGTGCCTCTCCTTTAACCTGTCAAGTAAAAACAGGTCTTCATTTAGGAGCTCAGTGGGTTCTGAGGGTGGGATGGGCACAGGAAAGTGGAAACAAAACCTGTGTCCTATGTTTGTATCTCTTGTTTCACTCTGTCCAACAGCTAAACATTTTTTGTAACACAGTAGTTAGTTAAAATTGAATTCCTGCCCAAACCTGTGAGAGCTAAAGAGAATACTTTTCAGCATCAATGACTCCATACCACCACCTTGCAACAAGTTATGAAGGATTCCACCTTCTAATCTCCAGCTACCTTTTGGGAATGTTCTTGCCAAGGTTAGCTGCCTACCTCTCTTCCGGACTCATGAGATAACCAGGCACAGTCCATATATGTGGGATCCATAGGTTAACAGGGCCTTGCTTGCAGTAGCAAAATCATTCAGAGGTAAAGGCAACCAAGGGTGTAAAACTGGAGGGCCTGGCTGGTGCTTATGCTATTTAGGAGGCTGAGATCTGAGGATTGACACTGCACAAGCAGGGAAATCCATGAGACTCTGATCTCCAATTAACTATCAAAAAGCTGGAAGTGGGGGCTGTGGCTCAAGTGGTACGGAGCCAGCCTGAGAGGAAAAAGCTATGGGACAGCCCAAGTTCAAACCCCAGTAACTGGCATGCTTGTGCACCCCCCCATATATATATATATATATATATATATATATATATACACATACACAAGAAAAAATGACTAGAGACTCTTCACAGCCTATAGATAAGATAGCCAGTGTTTGTAAGGGAATATATTCACTACTGTCTATAAAAATTAAGCATTTCATTTTGGTATCTAGTCAGCTGTTTGCTCAAAATGAATTTTCAGTCATTTAAGATAGACTGGTAGTAAGAAAGCCATTGACTGACTCCCCCCACTATCCCCCACTGTTTAAAAATAACAGCTTTTTGTGCAAGAGCTTCATATATACAAGGGTTACCTAAAGCTGGGGGGAGGGGATAACCTCCAAGAAAAGACAAGATTTACAAAGAGTTATTAATGAAGGCTTATGCAGGAATCTTGAAATAAGTCAGAAAAAGACTTTAGGAAGTTAAGCAGCCTTTTAGATGCTATGTGCCTTTGATACTAGTGCTTTCTACCTCTGGGCCTCAGTTTAACTGGAAAAATCTAAAGTAGAAAAGTGGCCTTCCCGGGGCTGGGAAGGTGGCTCAGTGGTAGAGCGCTTGCCTTGCATGCCTGAGGCCCTGGGTTCGATTCCTCAGCACCACATAAGCAAAAAGAAAAAAGCTGGAAGTGGTGCTGTGGCTCAAGTGGTAGAGCACTAGCCTTGAGCTGATGAGCTGAGGGACAGCGTCCAGGCAGAGTTCAGGCCCCACGGCCGGACCCAAAAAAAAAGAAAAAAAAGAAAAAAGAAAAGAGGCCTTCGTTTAACCTCATAAATTTCCCCATTATTAATCATGTAAGTTAGTGAACATTAAAAAATACTCCTTTGCTCACTACCAATTCCTAATCATAAAGCGGCCACCATTTAAAGCCTGTAGCAACAGATGTCAAACTAAAAAAGTTCTTACAACAGGCCGCTTTAGCATTATTAGCTAAAAGTGCAGAAATCACAAAGGAAGTTTCCTATCAGCAGGCACAGAACACAGGGCAACCCTACTCCAATGTAAATCCCTACCTTCCAAAAAAGCCCCACCCCCACTAGTCACACTGCCAGAGACAACTCGCAAGACCTGACCTTGGCCTTATTTCTGTCACATCCTAGGGGAAAAAAACAAAAACAAAAACTCATTCCCACAACTGAGTACAAAGCAAGCTCCGCGCCCCACTGTAGAAACCGGCTGCGGGGGACAGGAAAGTCACTGGCCACCTTTCCCCGGGGTTTCTAGAAAGAGGAAGTTGCTGCAGAGCCCGCGGATCTCTTCCACGCTGATCTCTCGGTCTTTCGTGGGATACGACACACGAAAACAACCCACCCACCTCTCACTCACTCACTCTCAAGTCCAACCCCACGGTCAAATCTTCTCGATCCAAGTTCCACGACGCTCCAACCCCCCCCCCCCCTTAGTCCCCTCCCAAACTCCCAGATCAGGGTAAAACCACCCAACACATCAGCGAGGAAACCAGCGAGCGGCCTTAACTCTTCAATTCCGCCCATCAGGTGTTGGCGAGGCGGACCCAGGCATCCACCCCGGGTGCAGGGTGCAGGGCACGGGGTGTGGGTGCAGCGATGGGGCGCGGGGGCCCGGGGACCTGCAGGGTGTGTGTGTGGGGGGGGGGGGAGACTCACGCTCTTGTCGATGTCCAGCTTGAGTTTCTTCTGCGAGATGCTCTTCTGCACCCGCTTGCTGAAGGAGGCGTTGCCGGCGGGCCGGACGCAGCGCTCGCCGTCCTCGATGAGGCAGCAGCTCTGGCCGTAGCCCGGGGTGGCGGCGGCGGCGGCGGCGGCGGCGGCGGCAGCGGCAGCGGCGGCGGCGGCGGCGGCGGCGGCGGCGGCGGCGACCGGGGGCCCTTCGCGGCTGTCCTCCTCCGTGCTGAAGCCGTTCATCTCCCCGCCCCGGCTCGGCCCCTCCGGGGGGGAACAGGCCCCCGTTCTAGGCCACTCCGCGGCCGTGCTCCCCGCGCGGGGCCGGGCGCCGCGATCTCCGCCCTCCCCGCGCCCGACAGTCCAGGAGTCCGTCTCCCGGCCGGCGCGGTCCTGCCCGGCGTCCCGAGAGGCCCGGCCGCCTCACCCCCCCGCCGGGCCCCGCGGCTCCCGGGGTGCGGGGGTCCCCGGCCTCCCTGCGCGCCAGGCCCCGGGGTCCGCTCCCGCGGCTCGCACCGGGGTCACTGGCGGCGCCCGCGGCCCCACACTCGTCTCCGGCGCTGCCGCGGCGGCGGAACGTCCGGGGGAGACGCGTCTCGCGGAGCGGCCACTGCCCCGGGGCTCCGGGCCGCGCGGCCCCCGGGGTCTCCGAGGCCCCCGCCGGCTCCCGCCTTCTTTCGGTGGCAAAGCAAAACTCGCTGGTCCGGCAGCTCTCCCGGGGTGGCGCGGCCTCCCCCACGCACACCCCCTTCGCGCGGGGCCCGGCCTGGAACCCGCAGTGTCCGGGCCCCGCGGCGCGTCTGGCCGGCCCCACCCCTGCAAGCCGCTCGGCGGAGCCCCGAGTCCCGGCCGCAGCCCCCAGGGCCAGCCCGGACGCCACCCGCCCGACGCGCCGCACCACAACAGTTCGCTTCCCTCCCACCCCTCCCGCCCGCCTCGGGACAGCGGAAGTCCCGCCTCCTGCCGTCTATTGGCTGTCTTTGCTTTCTGGGCGGGGGCTCCCCCGCCGCTGGTATGTCTCATTGGACTCTGCCGCTGTCATTCTTCGGTTCCAGGCTACTTCCTGGACTCTGCTGGGATGGGTTCAAAGTAGAGAAAGTGGAAGAGGAAAGAGTTACCGGGGCGGGATAGGGGAGCCGGGCCGTGGACTCCGCGGCCTTGGGGAGGGATGGCGAGCCGGAGCCTGGGTGGACGGAAGGACAGACTCTGGAAGCGGAGGATCGCGTTCGCGGGCAGAAGGAATCACAGACGTGGGCGGGGGCTGGGGGGGGGGGGGGAGGACAGGCTTAGGGGAGGGGCGTCTGAAAGAAATGGGCCTTGGGGAGATGCTGTGGGCCGAGGGGGCGACCTGAATCCTCCCAAACCCCCAGACCGGTGGGAAACTGGGCAGGGACAACCAGACAGAACGTCCACCATGGTGGGAAAGACAGAGGGACAATCCCCGGTAGAGATGTGTGTGAAGAGGTGGCGGGGCAGATGATGGAAGGGGGGAGGGGTCCTGCGAGGTAGTCGGAACCCCCGAACTGTGAACTTGGGGACTGTCTCATCAGAAAAGGGAAAGGAGAGAGAAAGGAAGGAATTTCCCGCCCCCCCCCCTTCCCGGACTTGTCCCCTATCTCGCCACTGGGAGAATGAATCCGAAGAAATCTGCATTAAGGTATGGAGGGTGGGCTGAGTGAGCCGCGGGGAAGTTTTGCCGAGGAGCTGGAGAGAAGGCTGAAGGAGGTGAGGGGATCCAGGACTAATCTATCCGGGTGGGGAGAGCTTGTGGGGTTTTGAGGCCCTGCCTAGAGCTCCAGATTGTAGTCTTATTGCTTTAAGTCTCCAGGAATACCCAGGAGGAGACAGTGCCCTGCCCCAGTGACACCCTACCCTCTCTGAAAGTTTTAGGGGATCTCTAGTCTAGTGCCTCTAGCCCCCTCAACTGGGAAGCTGCGGGATGAGAGGATGGGTGGAAGTAGCTCAGGATGCTGCATTTGGAGGTGAGTCGTGTTTCCTGGAGAGAGGTGTGTTAGGTAACAGGTAAGCACATGTTTTTATTTCATTAGACTAAAGTGCAGAGGAAGTTCCGGTTTGTATCCTGATGGAAAAAGGAAGTTCAAGTTCTGAGGCCGTTGCTCATGATCTTAAATTGGCCGCAGTGTGTCATGTTAATCCGGCTTCTAGTGGACTTGTGAATTTGGACTAGTTAAGTTACTAATTTCTTTGTTCCTCCTTCTCCTCCTCCCCCTCCGTCGTGCTGGTACGGGGACTTAAACTTAGGGCCTGGGTACTGTCCCCTAGCTTCTTTGCTCAAGCACTATCACTTTGAGCCACAGATCCATTTCGGCTTTTGTTTGGGTAGTTTGGAGATAAGAGTCTTGGACCTTCCTGCCAACTCTAACTTTGAACTGAGATCCTCAGATCACAGCCTCCTCCAGTAGCTAGGATTACAGGCATTCCCGGCCTAATTTATTAATTTCACATTCGATACTGCCATCTTAGGGAACAGACCCACCAGAGAATTTAAGCACAATTGGAGGCTGAGGGTAAAGCTCAGTGAGAGAATGCTTGCCTAGCAAAGAGGAGGCCTTGGGTTTGATGTACAGCTAAACAAAACAGGTGCATATAACACAGCCAAAGAAAAAGCACAATGTATTTATTGTGAGATTATAAAAAACATCTAAAAGTTCCAAAAAGAAACACCTAACATCTTTAAAATAAGATGTACAGTCAACATTGAAAGTAGTTTCACCATGAATGTGCATGCACAAGCACATGTAAAATTACCATCAACTTAAAAAAGGATTGATGAGTTGGAAAAATGCTTTTTTTATTCTGTCTCTTTTGTGTGTGTTTATCTCTTTTGAACTTGGAGCCTGAACATTGTCCCTTAGCTTTTTTGCTCAAGGCTGGTAATTTTCCATTTGAACCACACTTCCAGATGGAGATCAGAGTTTCAGTCTTCTTGACTGGTCTGGCTTCCAATTGCAATCCTCAGATCTCAGCCTTCTGAGTAGCTAGCATTATAGGCACGATCTACCAGTTCCTGGCTAATACTTTCTTATGTTAAGTAGAAAATGCATGATAAACCAGGTGCCAGTGGCTCACACCTGTAATCCTAGCTACTCAGGAGGCTGAGATCTGAGAATCGGTTCAAAGCCAGCCTGGGCAGGAAAGTCCATGAGACTCTTATCTCTAATAAACCACCAGAAAACTGTAAGTGGTATTGTGCCTCAAGTGGTAGAGTGCTAGCCTTGAGCTCAAGAACTCAGGGACAGTGCCTAGACCCAGAATTCAAGCCCCATGACTGACAAAAAAAGGAAAAAGAAAAAGAAAATGCATGTTATGGTATATATACAAAATGGAATTTTACTCAGCCATCAGGAAGTGTGATATTGTGTCCTTTGTAGAGAAATGGAAAGACTTGGAAATATTATGTTAAATAAGTCAGGCCCAGAGAGACAAAGGATGCATGTTTTTCCTTATATGTGGAAGCTAGATTTAGCTCATAAACTTATAAGAAAATACATTGAGATAAGAAAATACATTGAGTGCTATGCAAGTGTATACAGATGTATGTGACTGAAATATGGTAGATTCAAGGGAAAAGTCAAATACTGTAATTCCTTAGAAAGGCAAAGTCTGAGCTCAACAAAATCACCACCAGGAATTCGGTACTTGAAAATGGTGGTGTTGGGTCAAGGAGAAAGGGGTAGACAAATGAAAAGGAGGAAAGGGTGAGAATGCAATCAATAATTCAGTGTATATCTTTCAAAATTAAGATGAGTGACAGAAGGGCAGAGGTGGTTCGGAGGGGGATGAGAATGTTGAAAGGGGTGACATGGATTCAGATGCATTGTATTCATGGACTGCTTTGTTAAATGGCAACTCCTTTGTACAACGCCTTAATGGTCATAATGAAAACCTCATGTTATAAAATTGCATGTGGAAATATGATGGCCTCCACCCAGGGATGGTCAGCACTGACCCTTTCTTTGTGCCTTTGACCTGCTGCTGCCATTCCATAAAGTCTGAGCAATTCATAGGCCCAGCATAGGGGAGAGGACCTTCCTGATTACAGTGATGCAGGCAGAGCTCATACCTGGGCTAGTGAGAGATAGGGTGACACAGAAGCTCTTCCGGAGCACAGAAGACCCCTAGCACATGTTAACTCTTCACCCATAGACCTGGGCAGGCCCAAAAGTCGATTGAAGATGACAAAGAGGGTAGACCCTTATGTCCAGAAGCCCCAGTGAGAAAATCACCAGCTGGCATCAGTTAGTTCAACACCTACAATGTCCAGAGTCTTGTCATGAAATCTGACTGTGCTACTTTCAGAGTTCCCCACAGAGAAGAACTATGGAAGCTTGAGTACTTCTGGGTCTGTCAAACCAGATGTTATTTTAGAGGGACAAATGTACTTTGGCAAAGGAGAAGGAGGCAAAGAGAAAAATAAGAGAAAGGAAAGGAAAGGAAGGAAAGAAGGAAGGAAGGAAAGCAGGCAGGCTGGCAGGCAGGCAGACAGGCAGACAGGCTGGCTGAGTGCTGGTGGCTCACACCTGTCATCATAGCTACTTAGGAGGCTGAGATCTGAGGATCATGGTTCATAGCCACCCCAGGCTGGACAGTCCATGAGATTCTTATCTCCAGTGAACCACCAGAAAACCAGAAGTAGAGCTGTGGTTCAAAGTGGTAGAGTGTTAGCCTTGAGCACAAAAGCTCAGGGAGGGGCTGGGAAGGTGGCTCAGTGGTAGAGCACCTGTCTTGCATTGCCTGAGGCCCTGGGTTCGATTCCTTAGCACCACATGAGCAAAAAGAAAAAAGCCGGAAGTGGCGCTGTGGCTCAAGTGGTAGAGCGCTAGCCTCGAGCTGAAGAGCTAAGGGACAGCGTCCCCAGGCCCAGAGTTCAGGCCCCACTACCAGAACCAAAAAAAAAGAACCCAAAACCTCAGGGACAGTGTCCAGACCCTGAGTTCAAGCCCCATGACTGACTGCCCCTCCCTCACAAGAAAAAAAATCAGAATTTTCTCACATGATAGTCATTCTGCAAATGGATTAGAAGATCTATAATAGGCACTGCAACTTCGTGGAGGAGCAAACAGGACAGGAGACCTTAAAGGACTAATGGGTGGGTGGTTACAGAAAGCTAAATGGGGTTAATACTCTAACAGCCATGTCTGACCTATAGTTGGCTCATGCTCAGTATCAGAATTCTACCTTCAGCTTGGAAGGCAGAAGTTTTCCAATGAATAGCAGATCCTGCAGAGTCAATGTTTTCTGTAGAATTTCCTTAGGCTGAAGCTTGATAGTCGCTTTTCTCATCTAAATCTTTGAAGTAACATGCCATCCTCACGGCACTCCGGTCCAAGCGTTTGATTATCGTTGACA